ACAACTTATGTAATTCCAATGGAATGTCCATCCACTTTTCATGTCCACATATATCTCAATAGTACGAAAAATCATAATGGATGTTACACAACATGAACGACACCATTCATTCACTACTTTTTCATGCTAACCTTCCACCCACATTTTGAGTTGAAGCCTCCATATGGCTTTCCATTTTCTCAACATCACACCATCCACCACCATAAAAAATTATTCCCCTTACCAAAAGTTTTTTGGTAAAAAAAAATTGACTTATTCACATCTCTGTGTCTCTCAGGTGCTTTTGCTACTCACACATTGCCACAACCGTAAACTAGCTTCACATACTATACCTTAAATATTTTTTTGGGGTATCCATCCAGCCATCATGGCTTCTGATGCTATAGAATTTATCAATGAAAATAATAGGGAGACATGTTGTGTTTTACAAATCCCTTTATCCATACACATCCTCCACATCAAACAAGTCACCACCTTCCTTACATCCTTCCCAATAGATCCAACCACTACTATCCCTCCTCCTTGTTGGTTGCTTCAACACCGAAAACCCACCATAGTGTTAACACATACATAACAACTGTTCCCCTTACCACTACGAAAATCCCATCCACAACCCATTGGTCACCATCGAATCCAACCCACCTTCTATTACTCGACATACAATAACCACTCAATAAAAGCATGAGATCTCAAAACATGTTATATACCTTAATCACCTTACTTAAGTGACTCATCTATATCTCAATCTTACTTATATGCTTTAAAGTACCGAAACTGGTCCACAACTATACATGATGGATACATTTCCTTAATCACGAATGACACTTAGAATTTTGTTCTGCAACTAATGAGGGTTAACATGGTCAAATACATATGGTTATTTAAAAGGAAAAATATTGCCAAAATATTATCTTGCTACGAAGAAAGATTAGTGGAAATGACAAAAGTTAGTGCTCGCGTATAGACTATGATGAAACGTTCAGTCTGGTTGTCAAACCGACCACGATCCGTATGGTACTTAGCTAATAAGTCTCACATCATTGACTCGTTTATCAGCTTTATGTGAAGAACATATTCCTTCACAATCACTTACAAGAAATCATGTACATGTTCCAGCCTCTAGGTATTCACGATCGACAACATCTAGGCCATGTACGCCTACTTAAACGATCTTTCTATCGGATGAGATAGGTTCCTCGTACTTGGTCCATCGGTTCACATAATTTTCCATTACTCTAAGTTTCACCAGCAAAAGATGCAACTCATCTCTCTTTATTTTCGATACATCAACACACGATATACCATCTAGTTTATATAGACGACATCATGTTTACTGCCTCGTCACACACATTATTTCAACACATCATATCCTCTTTCAATAAATTATTTAATTGGCATCTTAGTCACTCAAGATCAATATGGCTTGTTACTTAGCCAACATAGATATGTCATTGATATTATTGACCATGGTAAGATGCAAAAACAACAAACCATGTTAGACCCTTGCTGATATGCAAGCAAACTATATACTTTCGGTCCACCCGTGGCTGATAAAATACTTTTTGTAGCCAGTATGAAGCTCTTTAATATCTCACATTCATGATACTCGGCCTTGCCTATGTTGTCCAACAAGTGTGCCTTCCATGCATGATCCCTAGGAAAAATATTTTGGGGCATTAAAGCGCATATTGCTACATCTTCGAGACACCATTAATCACAACATTCAAATTTATGTGTCACCTGCTTAGGGCCTTACTTCATTCTCAGATATAGATTAGGGGATGTCCCATTACATGACAATCTATATTTGAATACTACATCTTTATGGTATGAGACCTTCTATCTTGTTCATCCAAACACAAGAATATCATCACAAGATCATGTACAGAGGTCGAGTACCATGGAATGGAAAATTTGATCGCTAAAACATCTTGGTTATGAACCTTCTATAATAGTTGTACTTTTTGATCATCAAAGGCATGATTGTTGTAACACCCTGTTCCGAATCGTTTCCTATTCAGGGTGGTGACCAAAGGTCGGGAATTATCAGGCTTAGGACCGTTGAGAAAATGAGATTTGGACCTATTTGGATATGGGTGATGTAAATCTAGATGATCTGGGGGTTCGGTTTGTAGTTTGGAGCCAAGGGGTATTTTGGTAAATGTCAACTCGGTCTTTGATGGAAATTAGATTTTTATTCGGGAAATGTTAAGGCGATTATGAGATGATAAAAGCATAGATCTTCTCGTTACCTTTTCATGGATATAAGGATAGTCGGAATCAAATTTATAATGAAGAAGTTTTGGCCTTCGGAAGAATTAGGGTTTTGGGGAAAAACCCTAGTACGTTGGGCGTACATGGGAAGTACACTTGCAAGGACCCTTATGCGAGGCGTTCCTTGGCGTACGCTGAGCTTAGTCAGCAGTTTGATCGCGAAACTTCTTCCTCGTACGTGGGGCGTACGAGGAGTACGTTGGGCGTACGAGGAGTTCAAGAAACCCTAATTTAAGTGTGTTGTGTACCCTATATAAACACATTAAGACCCTAGGGCTGGCCTCTTTACAAACCCCCAAACCTCCTAAAACCCTAAGTCATCCCTTAAGCTTTCTTAGTGGTGTTCTAGAGCCCTTGAGAGGATTTTAGTGGTTGTTTTGCTCATTGTGAAGGAAACTTTGAAGATTGAAGGTGCCTTGCTTGGAAGGAAGGTCATAGATCCAAAATCATCTCACTTTTTGCAATATCTTTAAGGTATCAAGTTCATACCTTGGCTTGTAGATGTTTAGATCTCCTCATAGTTTGTTTTTTTATGCTTTTGGTCCCATTTTGGGTTGATTGAAGAGTTAAGACGTTTTAAGGGCTTGTTCTTTTAGATCTGAGCTTGTGGTGGACTCCTTGAGCTTCAAGGTGCAAGCTTTATGGGATTTTTGGTCACATGCATGCATTAAGTCACTTGTAAAGTCCTCTTTAATCTTAAGAGCTTCATTTAGCCATGCATGAACGTAAAGTTAGCAACTTTACGTGATAATCCAGCTCAAGGAAGTCAGATATATGTTTTGCACCTATGTCTTAAGGGATTAAGTGTTGAAATCAAGTTTTGGGTTAAATGGGTGAGTACGTAGTGCGTACAAGCAGGTACGCTTAGCGTACCAGCCCTCAAGCGAGTACGTTGCGCGTACGTGCTGAGTACGCCCCGTGTACTTAGTCTGATGGACTTCACATGTTTGGGCCTCATATTTGGGCTATTATTTGGGCTTAGTGGTGTGGGGCCTTGTTGGGCCACCTGAATGCAAGAGTTTGGAGTAGAAAAGAATTCGTGGGCTTTAGGGTAAGGCCCCATGTAAGGGTTTGGGCCCAATTTAGAAAAGTGGGCCATGTATAGGCCTTGAGTGTTTATTTGGATTTTTAGGCATTTGGATTGTTGGTTCATGCTGAGTAAAGGGTAAAAATGTCTTTTACCCCATTTTGGGCAATAAGTTTGGACCAGATCCGATTATTGATGGATGTTTATTATGGTGATTTGTAGCGCAAACATTTTAGCGAGGCAACGGCCAGAGATTCTTTCTGTGATATTCGATAGTGCGAGGTGAGTTTTCCTCACTGTACTTGCGGGTCGAAGGCACCAAGCTCAGCCCTTTGGATTGTTATCCTGGTTTATCGTATGATTGTGTACTGTTGTGATCTGTTTGATCTGTATCTTGGTAGATAGGATGTTGCTATGTCGTAGTGATCTGTTAGATCTGTATCCTGGTAGATAGGATGTTGCTATGCTATTGTGATCTGTTAAATCTGTATTCTGGTAGATAGGATGTTGATATGTTGTAGTGATCTGTTAGATATGTATCCTGGTAGATAGGATGTTAGCATGCGGTAGTGATTGGTAAATCTGCATGTTTTTCTGATGCCTGGTTATATGTTTATAAGTTATGTGTATGTCGACATGTTATGGTTGGTTGGGTTGAGGCGGTCATGCTTTGTGCTAAAAGCCAAGACACCCAAGGCGGACCGGATAGACTGTAGGCCCTGCGAGGCGATCCAGTCATGCTGAAGGTCTTGTGAGCAGTCCAGATAGGCTGAAGGCCTGTAAGGCGGTCCAGTCATGTTGAAGGCTCTGTATGCATGTTGTTTGTTATTGTTATATATATATATATATATATATATATATATATATATATATATATATATATATATATATATATATATATATATATATTGTGTATTGGTACTTTGGGGGAAAGCTCACAAAGAGTTGACTTATAGTTTTGAGTTATGTTTCAGGTACTTCAAAGGATCGTAGGAAGGCGAAGACGTGACCGTACACATCCTCCTGTTTTGGACTTATGATTTTGGAAAAACTCTGATATGGAACAAGTTTTGAAAACTATGTTGTAAACGACTTATGTTTTTGGGTTGATTTTAAAAGTTTAAATTTTTCATGAATTTTATGGATGTTATAATTGTTTACTGTTAATATGTAAGTGTTATCTATCTCTCTGCCAATCCAGTTCAACCCTAATATATAAAACACATTAAGATTGATATTCACTTTGTTAATATGTAAGTGTTATCTATCTCTCTACCAATCCAGTTCAACCCTAATATATAAAAGACATTAAGATTGATAATATATAAAAGACATTAAGATTGATATTCACTTTGTCTGGGACAAAGTTGTTATAGGCTACATGCTTGTTCTACATGTTCCTCTACATATGAGTATTTAGATGTATTCACAAATGGTCTATCATCCTCTTTTATTTAGGAATAATATCCGGTCACAATGTCCGACCAACTACCCATGTTTCGTGTACGGGGGATGTTAACATATCCGTATGTGTACGTTTTATATAGTAGCCAATCAGTCTCGACCCATGTGTATTATTGTGTATCCAAATTATATTGTATATATATGTGATTAATGAGAGATATGCTTTATCAGAAAATAATGTTTATTAGTATTTTTACCTAAAAAAGTATATAGAAGTACAAGATGAAAATAATACCCCAGCTCTCAATCCTGTTGCAGTCGTCCCAGCGCCTCCATGATGAACCTAGAAAATCAATAGATTTTTTATTTAATATAAATGGAGTCGTGTATGCTAATTTTCCTTCGTTATAAGAGAACGAAGAATGAAACAAATTGTATTAATAACAATAGCAATAGTAAAAAAAAAAAAAAACTCAATCATAATAACAATATCGAAAGTTGCCTTAAAATATAACCCACCACAGCTGCACACTGAGGGAACAACCAATCATGCGGGTAATCCACTATAAGAAAAATATCATCTGAAATTTTGGAAACTGCAATCCCATTTTTATCAAATGGTCAAGAAATTATAGGAAATGATTAGCTTAATGTATTTTGTCATGATGTATAAAACGAAAGGGATCAATCTGAGAAGAAACTTACATGTCCCAAGATTTCCCCAGCCTTGGTCAATTATTCCCCTTTGCCCCGTTTTTTTCAAAGCCTCCAAAATGATATTCGTAGTTCTTTTTGAATTCTCAATAGGCTTAAAATTAAAAAGTGATTTATTTTGTTATAATATAACAAACAATTGATTTAATAAACATTGATTCGATACCAAAAATTAATTAATATCAATTTTCAAGGTCACAATTACTTGAAAAGTTAAAGTGTACTTATTTTCTGTGATCCATTAGATCAAGATTCCCATAATAATATAACTTAAATTAGCAAGTATGAAACTAAGTTACATATAGAATTAAGTCCACTTACCATGCTTCCAAACCCAATATATATCGGACTTGTTCCTTTTCCAATCCATCGTGTGAATTCTATGGGTGGTTGATACTCGGAACCAATATTCAAGAAACAATAACCAACAACATCAACCAACGGACCCCAATCTGTATAAAACGACGTATAAGTTTATGCAACCAACAATTACATCTTCATTTCTTTTCATTTCATATTAAAAATATGATATAATGAGTAAAGTAAATGGCTAACACAACTATGTATCAAGCACAAGATGCAGAAAGTACATATATACAAAATATATTATACATCAAGATGCACAAAATACATATATATATACAAAATATATTATACATACAATATGTATTAGGCATATAGTGATGCACAATATATTTGATACATACAAAAGGTTATAGTATATATCATGAATAATATGCATCATACATACTCTTAGAATATGTGCCTATGATACAAAATACTAACATCACTACCAACACTATTTGAACCTACTGGTAACACATGTAGAGCAGATGAATCATTAAAAATCAACAAAAAAAACCTATTTGAGACTAAATTAAGTATATGATTTTGTTGCACCGACTTATATTTGGAGTTATTATGCCGTGTTTGATATATTTGTGTTAGTTTTAATTTTAGAGGCAAAATTATTAGGGACTAAATTTCAGTATGTGATAAAATTGTACTGGTACTTTGGAGAGAAACTTATTAGATACTATACTTTAGTCATTTTTTACACATGCATAATTTTATATATGCAGGGTAAATTATCATGAACTAAATTTTAGTATCCTAGGTTGATTAATTAGTCATAGTTAGGTATATGAGACCGGTGAATCGGTCACGAATACCATTTTAAGATAAACTTATTGGGGACTAAAAACCATTCTCTAATACACATGTCTCGGTTTAGATTTGGAGTTATACTTTTTAGGGCTGAATTTTACTATAATAGACTAATTAATTAGGCATGAATACCGTATATTAGACACTAACGAATCCGTCATGTATATTATATGGATGAAAACGTGTCAATGAATTTATTTTAGTCTCTAGTTGGCATGTATCATTTCGACTAGGTTCATTATACCAAGATAAGTAATTGTTGAACTACAACTTTTTTTACTAAACCGGTGAATGAAAGTGTTTTACTCATTTATAAAATCAACCCCGATGATATTTAGTGTTTTTTTTTATGAATCGTAAAGTAAACTCATCTTTGATTGAGATCCTAGTCTAATCCATAACCCTATACAACGATTTCAATATCTTTGAAAAAGAATAGGGATTTAAGGAAATTTTTTAGCGATGTTGAGATTTTTCTTACTTCATTACTTGTAAATCGATCATCGCCTATGAAACACTTCCATGAATTTATTTGAAAAAATATTTTTGGCTACTTCTTTTATCAGGCTTGTCTTCGATACACACTCTAGTTATATTAAGTCTTTTAGTGCGATTTTTTTCTATATCGGTTATTTATGAAACCATGAAAATTTTCATTTTTCTTTATACTCAACCCCGTCTCACATGTTGGCATAGATAATAAAAATCTTTTTCCGCATTGCGTATCTTCGATCAGTATTCCACTCAATAGTGAATCAACTTTCGTTTTATTAAGGGGAAAGTTTATTCATTTAGTTCCAAGTTTGCGATCAATGTTTTTAATAAGTGTAAGTTTAGGCTTTCTCGTTTGAAAATTTATAATTCCATCCATGTATTGACTGCTTCTTTTATTGGCCCAATCAAATGGAGAATAACTAACCATTATGGAAATTTTACCCATGAATCGGCCACCACCTTGTCGAAATTTGAATCCTTAGCCACATGTGAAATAATTTAAATAAGATGAGATTGCAGTCTTGAGAATGATTTTTTAACATGATGAGCAATGATCCAACGTCTCGTTGGGGAGAAAAAGAGCATTTTCATCAGGCTAGAAGTATAAGGCATTTAATACTAGACATATGTCCATTTTATAGTGTTATGAAATGACACTTTTTATCCACATACGTTATTCTTGATATATATATATATATATATATATATATATATATATATATATATATATATATACTAGTTTATAACCCGTGAGACCCACGGTTATAAAATTAATTAAACTTTTATAATAAAAACTCAAAATTATTAATCAATTATTTTAAATAAATTATTAATTAAGAGTTTTTTTTAGTTATATAAAACTATAATCATTGATTTAAATAAATATGTGAAATTATATCACTTTATAATTTATATTAATTTTATTTAAATTTTTATTCTAATGTTATTAATTTAATGTAATTAAAGTGTGAAATTTAAAATTTAAAATGGAGAATCCATGAGTTACAAATGGCATGCATTAATTAGAAGACATAATAGGGTGACACTTGGCAAAAGAAGAATAAAATATGCATTAATTAGGAGGTCTAATGGGATGACACATGTCAAAAGGAGAATAAAACTATTATTTTATTAGATTAGAATAGTGAGATATATATATATATATATATATATATATATATATATATATATATATATATATATATATATATATATATATATATATATATATATATATGAGTTCAGGTTCATTTGAGACAATGCTAATTTTGTGAGACCGTGAGACCAAATCTAAAAATAATTTTAAAATGCAAAATAAAAGGAAAAATCCAAAAAAAAAAATTTTAATTATTATTTTCGGAACTTTAATTACCTAAAAAAAATATAAAATAAATAAAAATAAATTACCGTTTTTTTTGAAAAATGCGTGAAATATTCTAATATAATATTACAATGTAAATATTCTAATGTGATTTTTAGAATGTTAGAATATTATACTAGATTTCTCGGATATGTAGAATATTCTATTATTCTACTAGAATATGTAAAAAAAAATATTTTTTTTGGTATTTTTTTATTTTTTTTTTTTGAAAATATAAATTCCGAAAATAATATTTGAAAAAAAAAAATTCAAAAATTTTCAATTATTTTGCATTTTAAAAATGTTTTTTGTTTTATCTACCAAATGAATGGCTAAGATTGCGTCTCATGGTCTCACAAAATTAGGTCGTCTCACATGAACCTAACCCTATATATATATGAGTAGGTATTAGACATATTCATATTCGTTAGTGGTGGATCTATAATTTTTTCACTCGTTATGCACTAGAATAGTATTTATTTTTATCAAAGGATGAACTTTCATACCTAGCAAACCATGCAAGTCTTCTTGTGTTATGATTTGCACACATTAATGTTGAAAGTATAAGCTACACTTGTCTTAGAATAAAATAGTAATTGAATGGTAGTTATTGTGTTAATTATAAGTTAGTTACTAGGTAGTTAATTTTGGTAGAAGTTGGTAGTTATATGGAAGTTATTAACCGCTAATGTAAAAGGTTGTAATAGTTAGGATGAAGGGGTTTGATGGTTAAAAAGGGGCTATAGCATGATCCTAGATTGGTTGATGGTTGTAACCATGGATGAAGTTTGGATTCATGAGCGAGTTGAAAAGATCTTGGTAAAGTTAATTTTTTTGTGATGTTTGTGTTTGTATGGTGATTGATGCACATGAAAAGATGATGGAAAATGAGGATGCTGATTTGAAGGGGTTTGTGAAGAAATCTAATGAAGATAACGGTGTGTGTGGGTTCTATAATGAAACTAAATTTGGAAAGTGATAATGAGGTTCATGAGATGATGATGATGATGATGATGATGATGATGATGATGATGACGACGATGATCGTGGTCTTCTAATGGTCTATAATAGATTGGTTGAAGAAAAAAATGAAGAAAATCAAGGAGAAAGAGAAGGAATCTGATATCAATTCGAAATCTTTAAAGGAGAATGAGAAAATCCCAAAATATAAGAAAGAACATGAAGTGTCAACTAAAGTATTTTTAGACTCTTTTGATGTATATATGAATCAATATGTGGAGGATGCCATCATTGAAAAAACGAATGATGATCATCGAAAACCAACAACCAGACACAGACATTGAAAGATTCTCACCAGCCTGATAAAAATGAAAGTCAAAGTAAACGAACTAGGATGGTTACTACTAAAATGTGTTCTAAAAAGGAAACTAATGAAAAAAAATAGAAGTAGGGCTATTGCTAATGGTAGTGCACAACATTAGGATGTTGTAGGTGTGGTTTAAGTTTAGCTTTAAGGAGAATGTTGAAAGTATAATCAAGACTTATCTTAGAATACTATAGTTATTGAATGTAGTTATTGTGTTATTCAGAAGTTAGTTACTAGGTAGTTAATTCTGGAAGAAGTTGGCAGTTATATGGAAGTTATTAGCCGCCAAAGTTAAGGGTTGTAATGGTTAAGATGAAGGGGTGTGATTGTTGATGTTTATATGTATGTGTCTTGTAATTCTATGGAACAAATGATTTTTTTTCTCTACTAGCATAACGCAATCTTCCTTTACAATGCAGTTATGTTCCTGAAATTCTTATATCTTTATATGTACTCCAACAAAATGGTATTAGAGAAATGATTCATGGTCCAGGCATATAGCATGGTTCTAGATTGTTTTGTGGTTGTAACAAAGGATGCAGTTTGGATTAAATAACCAGTTGAAAAGATCTCAGGTAAAATGAAATTTTCTTTCTTATGTTGGGATTTGTGTGGTGACTGATCCAGATGAAGGATTTTGGAAAACGATAATAATGACTCGAAGGGGTTTGTGAAGAAATCAAATAAAGATAATGATACGTGTGTGAGTTTTATGATGAAACATAGTTTGAAAAGTGATAATAAGGGGCATGAGAAACATAAACACGAGGGTCCATGAGATAATGATCTTTACGTTATAAGATTCTACAAGAAATTGGATGAAGAAAATAAATTGGAGAAATTCACGAAGAAAGAGAATGAATTTGATGTGAAACCCAAAGCTTTGGGAGAAGGAGAAAATCCCAAAATCTAAAGGAATGACATGAAGTTTCAACTACAATTGTATTAGATTCTTTTGACGTCCAAAGGAATTAATTTGTGGATGATAGTTGTATTGACTAATCGGATGCTGATCATGGATACACCAACAAACCAGAAACATGAGATTGAAAATGTTTCCTAGCAACCAGATATGAACCAGGAGGGTTACCACTAGTGTGTGTTCTAAGATGGCAACTAGTAAAAAAAATATAGTGGAGTAACTACTAATGGTGGTGTGCAACAATATATTGTGTGGATGTGGTTCAGGTCTAGATTAAGGGTGAATGTTGAAAGTATTGTCTTAGAAGAATATAGTAATTAAATGGTAGTTATTTTGTTAGTTATAAGTTATTTACTAGTTAGCTAATTATGGAAGAAGTTGGTAGTTAGAGAGAAGTTATTAACCGCGGAGGTAGGGGTTGCAACATTTAGGATGATGTTGTATGATCGTTGATGTCCAATTGCATATACAGCCATATTTAGTGGGGTGGATAGACCCCATTTAAAAAATGGGTCTCATCTCCTATTGTAATGAAGTTTTTTTTTTTTTTGAAAAAATGGTATATTTGTACCCCACTTGTAACATCCCGATGATGAGGTTTTTTCAATTTTTAACCCTATGTACGAAGAAATATTGCATTTTGGCCCTTGTGCATGAGAAAGATTGCAAAATGGCGGATGGTGGCTTTTTTGTAATTTTTGGGGCGGACTCACGTACGTTGGGCGTACGCTAGGGCATACGTGGGTGAGCCACAAACCCTAATTTTAGGGTTTGGACCCTTTATAAACATCATTAACTTTTTATTTCCCCTTCCCCCCATCAGCCTCCAACCCTAATTTCGTCCATTGCAACCTAAATCTCTTGTATGTGTTCCTTTGAGCTCAAAAGTGTGTGTTTGTGGTGCCTTTGAAGCAAGGTGAAGCAAGAAGCACCAACTTGGAAGATCAAGACCTTATGGATCCAAGAACACCTCACCTCCAAGCTTCATTTTGAGGTATAAAGTTATGAAGTTGATGATTCTATGGATAGATCTAAGTTAGCCATGAAGTTTGTGTCCATTTGGTCCCATTAGTTGGGTATTTTGAGTATGAGCTACTCCAATCCCTTTAAGTTGTCCTTTCATACATTTTGAGGTGTTTAGAAGCATAAAAATGTAGTCTTGATCATTTCTTCCCTTCCATGCGTGAGTTACAAGGACTTAACGGGATAAGTGGTTAAGGGTTTTGATATTAAGCACTTATTGACCATGCAAGACCATAAAGTTGGAAACTTTATGGTTAAGAACGATATTTGAGACTTGGATATGCATTTTGGACGTAAAAGGTGAAGTATTAAGCAATTAATGGGTTAAGTGGAGGTCCAGTTGCGTACGTTGGGCGTACCATTTGGTACGATGCGCGTACACAACTAAACCCCAGATCCTGGTCAGCCATCGAGTACGACCCGCGTACAGATGAGTACGCCCTTCGTACTCAGCTGGGTCAACTCGGCTGGTTTGTTGAATTTGACCTTTGACCTAGTTTGACTTAGGGGTATTTTGGGTAAATTGATATTAATTTAGGTGGGCAATATTTTGGATAATAAGTGTCCAGTAGAGCCGGTTTCGGAGCAGAGACTTATTCAGCTCGTATTTAGACTGATAGGTGAGTTTTCCTCACTGTACCTGTGGGTCAAATGCACCAATGTCGACCCACTAGATTATATGTTCGGGTTATGGGATAGTACTATGCTAGTATATGCCTGGTTTATAGATCGATATGATTATCTGTATTTTCTGGTTTTGTGTTTATGTTTATCTTTTACATATGTCGACATATTTTGGTTAGGTTGATGTGATACTGCTTTGTGTTGTAGGCCAAGACACTTGGGGACGACCATATAGGTTGTAGGCCCTGCGAGGCGGTCTAGTCAGGCCAGCGGTCCATATATGTTATATGCGCTGCGAGGCGGTCAAGTCAGGCTGGCTGCTCATATTTGTATACTTGTTTGTCATGTGGTGTGTTGGTACTTTGGGGGAACTCACTAAGCTTTGGCTTACAATTTTAGTTTATTGTTTCAGCTACTTCAGAGGATCGTGGGAAAGCAAAGGTCTGATCGTGCACATCTTTCTATTTTCATGTGATTGGTTTATCTGGGACACACGGATATTATGCTACGTTTTAAACAATGAGTATTTTTGTAAACAATGATGGTTCATGGTTGATTTTAAAATTTTTAAATTTTCTTTGATTTTTGGAGTATAACACCACTTAAGGATTTTTGGCATTTATTTTAATTAAAAACCTAAAAAATCTTGAAAACTCAAATTTATTATTGTATTACCTCTCTCTCTCTCTCTGTATATATATATATATATATATATATATATATATATATATATATAAGGGTTAGGTTATTGTGTTCTAACTATCTATTGTGTGCATGTAGGATTGATTGTGGACCAATCATTTTTTGATTGATTCAACATTTAATATGCATTAATTACTTTCTTAAAATAGCTTAAATGATTGGTCCATAAACAATCCTACATGCACACAATATATAGTAGAAACATTTGAACCTTATCTTGTAAATCATGAGGAGTAAATGAAGTTTTTGTGTTACAGCATAAAGCAATCTTGCTTTACATTTCTTAAATGTTACTGAAATTATTATATCTTTATATTTAATCCAACAATTAAATCATGAAAACTCAAATTTATTATTGTATTATCTCTCTCTCTCTCTCTATATATATATATATATATATATATATATATATATATATATAGGGTTAGATTATTGTGTTCTAACTATCTATTGTGTGCATGTAGGATTGATTGTGGACCAATCATTTTTTGATTGATTCAACATTTAATATGCATTAATTACTTTCTTAAAATAGCTAAAATGATTGGTCCAGAAACAATCCTACATGCACACAATAGATAGTAGAAACATTTGAACCTTATCTTGTAAATCATGAGGAGTAAATGAAGTTTTTGTGTTATAGCATAAAGCAATCTTGCTTTATATTTCTTAAATGTTATTGAAATTCTTATATCTTTATATTTAATCCAACAATTAAATCATGAAAATTAATTCGTACCACTTGGTTTTGGTACAACCTGAGGACTCCACATGTATCCGGTCGGGAAATGAGATATTGAATCACGATACATGCTTAAGTAAGAAATAGGAGTAAGATTCGACTTCTTTCTAAACTCGTTTATATATCCTCTTATGCCCCACCAAATGATATGATCTACAACTATATATGAGAGCTGGATGCAAAATAACAACAATAAGAAAATTACGATTAAGAATCTTTGTTATTGCAGGGAAATGAAAACGTACCCAGTTACCAGTAGTCTGAGGGACAAGTGTCAACTTCCTTTTGATGTCGTTTAGATATCCTCTTATGCCCCACCAAATAAAAATATCTACATTTATATACGATAGCTGGATATCCAACAACAACAATGAGAAAGTTACAATTAAGAAATTTTGTTAATGGTGTTTGAACGCGTACCCAATTACCAACACTTTGAGCAACAGGTGCAAAGGGGGAAGGGAACTCAGATGTTGGCCTGTATATATGAAAGGAGTGTAAGAATTAAGAAGATTCCATGTTTATTAGAAAGGATTAAAAACTATATTGAAATGATGATCAAGTTTCTAAATGAAGTAATTGAATCCATTCGACCGAGTTCCATATTTCACTAAATTTTGTAGTTTGCTAGCTACTTGGACCCATTAGCAATAAAACATCACCCAAATTGACCTATATTTCACACAAATGATACCCTTTCTACTCCACCGAAAAACAACAATGTAAGAATATAACAAAAGAAACTTGAGTCAAAACTTACGTCCAAGGCATTGTGAAGAAAATGTGAAGAGGTATACCAAGAGCTTCAGCAACGTGTGCATGTCCTTTCAAAATTCAAGCAAAGAAACACATTAAGATGTGATAACCTTTTCCAAGTTATAGTATATGGTTATTGTTCTCAATATTTTAGACGACTCGAATATCCAAAAACCTAATTATAAATCTTGGAACTAGACTCAAAATGGTGAAATTAAATATGTTTTGGTTTTCTGTATTTTGACCCCAAATCAATAACTAATTTTCTTTACGTATATTTATTTTTTCTCCAAATCAATATTTTGCCTTTATCTCAATATATTTCAATTATAAGAGCAGAAAATCAAGGTGTAAAGGAAACATATTAGGCAATATGAACTGACCACATGCTGGAGGATTTGCAATGATTGCCTGAGCTCGAAAAGGTTGGTTGGTTTTTTGATCCGGTTCTATGCATGCTGGAAGAAGAGATTCAATAATTTCCTTTACTTGCTTAGTTTGTGTGAGTAATTGACCAAGTGTTGATGGAATAAGACCTTTATTTCTTGCCATATCTAAAGTTCAATAAATCAAATTAATTGTGTTTGAAAAGGAATTCAAACATGATATCTATGTGGGTTAAGGGCTACATTTGTTACATGATATATGACTAGAAAAACTCTCTAAGGCTATTTTTGATGATAAAGAGGAGGACATTCATGTTTTTGCATATATAAGAGATAGATAACGAGACATTGTTCCACCATTTTAGTGGGAAAAATTGCATCTTTTAGTATTAGTCGGTGCATAGCAAATGCAAGAGCTATCTCATGTCATATCATCCATACGAATAGAGCTTAATATAGTTGCAATATGACAAAATAAATATAAGGCGAATTTGTTTATTAAGAAAAACCTCTTACATGCTGCCAAGATACGAGCATCACCACCCAAAGGATAAAAGTCTACACCAGCCGATTCTACAAAAGATTGGAAGTTTACATGTGTTGCCAACCTAACATGATGACCAAACTCCTGCAAAAAAATATATAACCATTTTGGTCGGTAGGAAGACTAAAAGTGTACAAAGGAGGGGTACAAGTCACAAGTTGATTTTGGTAATTATTTTTGTGGGGGTGATGGGCAACGGGAGCGGTGATAGGGTGTTTCGGTTTGTCCTATTAGGGTTAAGTGCTTGAAACACCAATGAATATTATTGATACTTTTATTTTAGCATTAATGTTTACTTTCTCCGATTAAAAAAATATTGTATTTAGAAAATCTATTCAAGCATAGAAAATACAAAGAAAAATTTCATTGCTACAAAAAGAGAAATAAACAAAAAGTACAATGCTATAATTAGATACAATTGGTAAAGTATAGTGTGTTAATAAGAAAAATCGCAAATACATGTTGTAATTGAAAGAAATAAATGTATGTTGGTACAATACACAAATATATGAAAGAACATTGTTATTTCTTGTATTTAACCCTCTTTATTATGATAGACGTGGTCAAAGCAAAGGCATAACCTAAGAATATCAAATTTTAAAATGAGTCTACTTTAAAGTCTAAAAGGAATCTAAAGATATTTTGGATAGTTTGACACATTATTAGACAAAAATTAACATCATAATTCTTTAGTCAATTTGTAAAAGCATAACCTAAGAATATCGAATTTTATATTAAGGTTAAAATGTTTAATAATGACTCATTGTTAGCTTAGACATGCCTGTAGTTTCTTTGACATAGCAAGAAAAGGTTGAACATCTCCTCTTGTTCCAACCACAAGAACTGCTATCTTCAATTTTGGAATGAAATTTTCATAATTGGTGATGATGAATTCCATGTATGATCTCGGTGGAATCCTTGAATCGTTTGATACTTAAACAAATCTGAAGCCACTATTCACTATTGCATAGATCCACCTCTACTGTACATTGACTTTGGTTGTATACAAGTTCCACAATTAATAGCCTTTGCTGAAAAAAAATCATGGAAAAAAGGAAATATAAATTGTAGAAACATTAAAAAAAAATTGATTGTGTTCCCACGTCATGATAGTGGTTTAATATTAATACAATGAACATGTTTATATTGGCTCTAGGTTACATTCCATATCTAATTTCTAATATAAAAAGTTGTAAGTATTAAATTATACGATATGAATGTTATTGTGTGAATGATACAAGATGTAACAATTGTATATATAGGTACATAACAAAATCATATCAAATTTACAACATCTATCTATTATTATTTTGAATAATTCTACAATCACTGTCACTAATATACCCCTATGTTGTTGTTTGAGAGGGAACAAGTTTGATGCTCAAACCTCACTAATATGCCCATGCAACTTGAGTAGGAGGAAGTGGAACATTTAATCTAGATTGATATATTGTACACAAATGGTAAGGAAGTCCTTTAGCAAAAGTATATATCTACTAGTACTTAGGTGGGTTTTATTGCATACAAAGTGAGTATCAATCTCAACATGTTTGGTATGTTAATGTTGAATGAGATTTCAGAGAGGTAGACAATAAATATAGTATCACAATACATAGCAGTTGTTTAATTAATTGGTATGTGAAGGTCAAATAGTCAATTACATAGCTAACTAGATTTGGCTACCACGCCAATGATACTGCAATACACAACTTTAATAATTACTCTGGAGACTGTTTATTGTTGTTTAGATGACCAAGAGACCAAGTTGTCACCAAGAATCGTATAGTACCTATATATTCATCATTGTGACTCGAACACCTCTTGTCGACATTGAAATATATGGTGGTGGAAAGAGACGAGGACGAAGAGAATCACATATAATGGGTGATCATTTATTTGATGTGATGGAGATTTTGTTTGAGAAACAAACATGAGATTTCGGTAGGCCATGCATAAACAATCATATTTTTTGAACAACGTATGTAATCTTGGGCCAATGTTAAATATTGTATATCATCAATAAGGCTTTGATATACTATAGGATCAAAGACAAAGAGTCAATCACTGGGAATACTTTTGTTGCTTGTGTTGACCCGAGTTATCAAGGGAGTGTAGTGGTGATGTTATCTTAGAACAAAATACATCTAACATATTGGTACATGGAAATAAATATACATTTAGGTTATCGTGTCTCTTATATCCAAAGAAAATGATTTAATCAAAAAAGATTAGTCATTACAAACTCCATTGACAAAAAGGAGATAATATATTGTAGAAGTGTTTTGGAGAAGGAGATAACAATAATGTCATTAACATATGGTAATATAAACATGGTATGGGTCCCTGGTCGATAAATGAATAAATATGTGTCCAATGTTTTCTTTTAAAATTCTATAAAAAGATTTTACCTAGGTGACACACATGTGATAGGCATATAGGATCTATGAAATCGGATGATTGATGCATGCACATTGTCTCTTGAAGTTCGCTATGTAAGAATGCATTTTTCACATCTGATAGAATCAACTATAAACATGAGACTACCAGGCTCATAATTGTGTAAATGTGGCTGATTGGATTAACGGGATAAATGTATCATCATAGACGAACCTGGCATTTTGATTTTTAGTATTGACCACCAATCATACTTTATATCACTCAAGTTTACCATCAAATTGAGTCTTGTGTCGATATATCCTAAGGAATTATATAATGAAAATTTAAATATCCTCATAATTTTTCTTCCTACTCATCCTCCTACCTATGTTAAATGGTGATACATGTTTTAAAATATATTAATTCTATTAAATATGACACTTGTCACCATTTGACATGGACAAGAATAAAAGATAGGAAGATATTTCATTTCTCTTGTATAATATATGGGTTGGTGGCCCTAGGAATCAAATCCCAAGACTGATGTCTTGTAATGCTTTAAGATTATTGGCCTCGGTAGTATTCTATTATTGGTTATTACAAGATGTCATAATGGATTTAAGAATATGAGATATATGAGTTTAGAGGTAGTTTTGTAAACTAAGGGGTTGATGTGATTGAAAGTACCATGTTTGGAGTAGGTGGTCATGGGATGGTTTAATGTCGATGGAGGAAGGGAGTTGTAGGTAGTGATATGGTAATTAAAGTGGATAGGTTTTGTGTTAGGCTTAGGTATGTATAGGTGGCAGTGTTGTGGTAGGGACACGTGTTTGTGGGAATGACTAGATGTGGAGAAATGGAAAAAAAATAATGGGATGTGGAATCCATTATTTATCTCTTTAAATCCCCTATCTTGATTATTTAATACTTCTATTAATCTAGTGAGTAGAAAGATAAGTAGGAACAAAAAGTAGTTGGATATTTGATTTTTCTGAGAAATGGGATCAGTAGAGGTGATACTAATTGTTTGTTTGGGTTGGTGGGTATGGAGGTGGTCTTGTAGATGCAGTAATGAATCAGAGGGGAATATTTCTAGGAATGAGTATTCAAGTGGTTGGGATTAGTAGGTTAAGAAAACAGGAATATAGACTTATAAAGTAATATATCAAGAGATGTGAACCTTTATGGTATTAAGATCAACTCACTAATACCCCATATTATTGGAGGGATATCCAAGAAAGACACAAATAAATGAGCGAGGTTGTAATTTATTCTATTAAATGATGTTTGAATTAGGAAAACAAGTACACACATACATATAGATGGCCATAGGTACGGTGTTACATGAATAGGGCCATGAATGGGGTGCATAAATGAAGGTTTTTTTGTGTCAAAGTTTTTAGATATGGGGTTATAACGGGGTTATGAAATTATTAATACGTTTTTCTAATGCCAAGTGTCCCAAGATTGAAGCAATTGGGATTCAAATTTGAGACACACTCCTTCGGAATGTTTAAATCCTAAATGATCACAATCGGACCACCTTAATAGTTATGACTATAGAAATTAATCATATGTTGATTTTTTTTCCTTTTTCAAAAAGAGATTAGAGGTCGTATGGATTGATTATAAATAGTTTATTAATAACCTAGTTTAGAAGCTAAAAGCTAGCTTTAGCTTTTTAGGTTGCATGTCAAACACAACCTACAGCTTGTTTCAGATATAAAGTTAAGCAGTTTCGAAAATTAAAAAGAAATTCAAGCATCAACAAATCAAACAACACCTAACATGTCATTCACCGTCTCAAATGAAATAATGCATGAATCATGTCAAAATAACATCAAAACCATTATCTTGGGCTCGATAACAATGGGGGTTTCTAAAAAACCTAATAGCTAGTATGACCGAAAAAACACAAAGAAACCCTAAACCCTAATACCATCATTGATTTATGAATGGTAGCCAACCATATTAGTGAAGACAAGCCACATTACCACATACAACATGTATGAATATGTTGTATTCGGATCTAATGATGTAAAATCTTCACATCGCATGACTTATATGCATGAATAAAAATCCTCATGCATACCACATAATATATGGTATGCATGATGATTTATATATGCATATGTTATATGCATGGGCATTTTATTATGCACATGTGTCATATATGGATAATAAAATGTCAATGCACATATAAGATGCATATAGAAATATCATACACACCTTAAATGCATATACAAACATATTGCATATAAAAAAACGTAGGTAAAATACCGGACTCATGTATCGCTAGAAAACCTCCAAGTCAAAATGTTTACTTAAAAATTGAATTTTGACCGAATCTTGGCACGTATGAATGCCCATAAAACAATGTTATGTCAATTTGTTTTAACAAAAAATGGATGTAAAATATCTCTTTTAAAGTTGAAAGAGAGACATGACATACAACTATCAATAGAACAATGCATACAAAGTAAACGAAGTAAAAAATTATTCAAATTAGGTTATATAAACAACGATCACCATAATACGTTAATACGTTTGACGCGTTTCCAATTTTAAGGAATATCTCAAACTAACCTCTTACGAAGGATGATGACCCTATCCATTTCTCAGATGCTAAGGATAATATGTGACCAAATCAACATTTTCTTTTAAATATGAAGCTCGCGCGACCGTTGGCAAATTAATCCGGTTTTGGAGTTCGCCAACCTTTTGGTAATAAACATAACGATGCTCTTAAAAGTCCTTAGTTCTGTTTAAACTATATAGCATGAATGAAGTAGAATTAAAGGCGACTTTAAACAAGGCACGTTTCTCTTGCATAAAATTTATTTAACACACAATCGTGCTTGTTGTTACTTAACAAATTGCATTGAAATTCTTTTAAATATTTATTTTCTTATATTAGTTTAAACTACTTACAATCATAAAATTCAACGAACAACATAATTGAAAGATTCATCATATATAACAACATTAATTGAAATATGAACCTAAAATTCTTCATTTTCTTATTACGTGCTATCTCCTTATCATGTGTTCCTAGTTCCTACTATGTATTATATGGCCAAATTAAACAAGTTTAGTTCGAATGAATTGCAAAATCTTTCAATTTTCCATCATCTCCACATAAATTTGAGCACAGTATTCTATCTAGCTCAACAAGAAAATACAGTAAGTCTAAGGTTTCATCACTCATAATGAGGGCCAAAGCAGGATTTCATAGTAGGTGTGTCATGGAAAAAATAGTAGTAGCACAATAGTAGATAAAAAAATCCAAAAATTTTTACACTGCATATACGAAAGTCAAGCGTTGCCAATGTCACTGTGAAACACTAAGCAAAACTGCTACTGCTCATAATAATGTTGTAATTCTTTGATGGGTAGCTTCTTGCTAATCTTGGCCTTTTATATATCATTTGCCGTTTGCAAAAAAAAAATAAATAAATAATAAAATAATAAAAAAAAAGTGCAGTATTATTTCCACTAGAAAAAAAAAATTCGTATTCTAGAATTAAAAGTTACCACCATAATTAAAGTTTGCAACAAATAGTCTGATATAATCAAGAACTCAAAATTCAAAAAACACATGTGAAGATCAAAATAGGGATGTAGAGAATGTTATCATAGAGACATACTAATCTAGTGAAATACTCCGTATAATAGAATGAAAATATAATAGTAGTAGATCATGTTATAATTTTTTAAGTTGAAGATTCAATTTATAATTTGAGATTCCGTGATATAAACAAAATTTGGGAGCAATTCGCAAAATCATAAAGATGGCTATTGATCAGGTGACTTGATATAAATATGCTTCTCAATTTTAATGCATTTCATTCTTGATTTGCAAATGAAGTGGTCCTTTTATGAAAGATGTTGAAGACATGGTGAGATAATACCCTACAAACCACCTGGATCTGGTAAACAATTTCAAATAACGACACATGTGACCATTAAGTAGTTGAAACTAATAGGAATGGAGCTTGAGCAACTCCATAAGAGTGTTTTATTTCACTTCTTTCACTCAGCTACCCAAAAGATGGTTATTTACATTATCATTTAAATAATGAATTAACAAAAGTTATATCACTTTAAGAATTAGTAACCTATGTTTTTCGTCTAATATACACCACGAGGGATCGTTTCTGTCTAACCGATACGAATTCTAATATTTCCTCTAAACTTTTACAACTTTAAAGCCACATATCTTCTATAATACTTAACATCAACATTAGACTAAGCATTTGGACATGGTCATTTCAACACAAAAAGTACTTTACAACAACTTTTAAAGGAGTTTGTTGATGAAATTGTATTCATGATAAGCCGCATGGAAAAGATTTTTAGTTTGATAATAAGGGCAAGAAAATGACATAATCATGGAAAACAACTACATTTAATTAATATAAAATCATTTGCATTATGGTGACTTGGTAAAGTATGTGAAAGATATTTAATTAATATAAAATCATTTGGATTGTGTTAACTTGGTAAATTCGTGAAATATATGAATTATAACATATTGACTTATGTTTAAATCATGACATCAGCCCTTATGGCCATAGATGTTCGCATTCAGTGACTCCAAGTTATGAGCATAACTTTATATGTTTACAGCGGAGGGGTTTAGTTGATGCGCGAAAGTTAGCCTGAAATCCTCACTTTCCTATATATATTATATATATATATATATATATATATATATATAATATATATATATATATATAATATAATATATATATATTACATGATATGTAGCAATCATGATTGAAAATAAGGTAACCTCCAACAAAGTACTTTGATTTTATATTGATTTTTTGTTTAGCTCTATTTTTATAATGTTTCAACCTTGTATATATTTTTCATTAACCTTTTGATTCTACTTATTTTATACAATTTCTTGCTATTGTTGGTAACCATTTACATCATTTTTTGCTAACTACGATTGCTAATGTGGTAGTTTTTTATTGCTTGGAAACAAACCTGGGTTGCAACAGAAGCTTAAATTAAAAAAGAAAACGAAGTCTAAGAAAAAGGGAATCGAACTCGGGCAACTCCATACACAACCTCACTAAGCTAACTTATGAGATTGGTCAATGTACGATATTGGTCAAATTGGTGTGTGTATATATATATATATATATATATATATATATATATATATATATATATATATAGAGAGAGAGAGAGAGAGAGAATGAAGATCAATAAAATTTTGATAGAAATATAAGAAATTTTTTATATACATATTTTTTAGCAAACAAACAAACTGATTTATTAGATGATTCATAAGAAAAAAATTCTCAAAAACAACACATTCATAATTTATTTTTATGTAAATTAAAAATAAATTCACTTTTATGACAATTTTACTGAATATCAATAAAATTATCGTAAAAATATATCATCGTGATGTTTTTTCGGGATTTTTTTTGTGAATCATGTTATGTTTTATTTATCTAGTGATTCATTTATTTTGTTCGCAAAAAATATGCAAAAAAAAAAAAAAAAAAAAAAAACCTTCTTACCTTTCTACCAATTTTTACCGGATATATATATATATATATATATATATATATATATATATATAAGAAGAGAGAGAGAGAGAGAGAGAGAGAGAGAGAGAGAGAGAGAGAGAGAGAGAGAGAGAGAGAGAGAGAGAGAGAGAGAGATTTATAGAAATAGAAAAAAATGCCAAATAGTGAGATTTTAACTCGTATCATACTTAATAAAATATGTAATGTTTACCTTTAGAGTTCCACAAATGGCCAGGACCAAGCCTACGAGTGGGCTTCAATGGGATTTTATCGGTCAATGATCGACTTTTCTTGGCTTGTAAGCTACTATCATGGCCTTTTTTGATGGTGTTCTTCGGCCTCAATAAAGTTATAATCGTGCTTTTTTCATGTATGACTGGTTATATCCGGGTTAGGCTTGGGCCAAAGCTTTAAAAATTTTGTAAATAGTTTTAAATTTTTCTTTAAATTAATCTTAAAATTATTTAAAACTTTTTAAAATATTTTAAAATGGGATAGGATGGTTGGGCATTTTAGATATGTAAAATTGATTTTAAACTCTTTTAAAATGAAATATATGAAGATTCGTGAAAACCTAAAAATAATGCTTAGATTTCATTAATTGAAATGATCGTTACATATGATTAGTACATAAAAGGATACTAATAATCAATTTATTTGAATCAGCATTCTGGAAAGTCATATGAGAATTTTGCTTTTTTCAATTAATTAATGTTTGTTTTCCATTGATATCATGTACAACACTCTTTAAATCTTTGTGTTGACCATCATTATAATATTGGAAGTCGATGATCCACCATTTACATCTTTGATTTCTTTCGGATTATCCATTTATTCTTGTTTTTATTTTCTTGTAGCATATACTCTCTTTGTGTTTTTCGGTATTGGTGCCACCTCGCAAGAAACAACGAATTAGGCAAACTTATTGGGGTGTGATGCCGGAGTTCTTCCATTCGACTACCTTGGAGTTCCGGTTGGTGCCAACATGAATCTTATCAAAAATTGGAAGCCAATAATCAAGAAACAGCTGACAGAATCTCAGGATCAACTATCTCATGGAATTCGAAGTCTCGCCCCCTGATCTCGGTTTAGAGCTAGCTGTCAGAGCTCTTAACAACAACATCGTTGGCATTCGTCTAGGTCAAGGAGCAGACCATTGGAGATGTAAGTTAACTGGCGATGACATGTACACTATTAGCTCACTTAGACAGATTATTGACAAACATCCTGTTAACATTCTTGGCACTTCGATAATTCAATGGAGTAAGGTGGTCCCAATCAAGGTGTTAAGCTTTATTTGGAGAGTTGTACAAGGTAGAATACCCGCAGTTGTTGCTTTAGAGACTAGGGGTATTCAGGTCAATTCACTACTATGCAGTTCTTGTATCGGACAACCGGAAAGTGCAAACCATGTTCTTATTGATTGCCCGTTCGCCTGTATGATCAGTAACAATATCATGAGATGGTGTGTAGTAAAGCTCGGTCAAATCTCTATAAAGAATACCGGAGACCTTCTTCACTCTGTTGCCACATGGGGAAGTTGTCCAAAGAAAACGAAAATGCTTGCTTTCATCTGCTACAGAATGTTATGGAATCTTTGGAGGTTCAGGAACAAACGATTATTTCAAATGGAGAGTATTTCATCGCTATACTCTCTTTGTGTCATGTGTCAAAAGATAGACTCACACTATTTATCAACATCTGCTTCTTTGACTAGTACAACCTCTTTCATCACATCAAAAATCGTCCAAGGATTAAGCTACTTGTTGGAGGTTGAAGGATGTTTAAATTTATAATAAATTCTAGACCAGTTATAAGATTTAAGTTTTTGAGTTAATCAGGAGAGTAAATGACTCATTGGGCTTTGGTATTAAACATGTTGTGGTCTTAACCTTTTTTATAGTGTTTTTATAAGGTGTTACGTAAGAGTTAGTCGTGTTCATAAGGAGTTGTGTTATGTAGGTATTAGGTAGGACTTGGTTGTATTTATAAGAGTTTATTATATGGATGGTAGGTAGGGGTGTCAATTTATGACACGACACGACAAAAATACACGAAACGAAACGAAATTGGGACGAAATCAAAATTTAAATTCGTGTTCGTGTCGTGTTCGTGTCAAGATTAAAAAACACGATGTCGTGTCGTGTCGTGTTCGTGTTCATAAATCGACACGAAATTGACACGATTAAGCATGTGATTGTCGTGTTTTTCGTGTTTGTCGTTTTTGTCGTGTTATATATCTTTAAGTATGAATGAAATAAATTAATAGTTATGTAATATTATCTTTGTCGTGTTGTGTCGTGTTGTCGTGTTTTAATTGGTTCGTTTTCGTGTTAAGGAAAAAAAACACGACGTCGTGTCGTGTCGTGTTCGTGTTATACAAAACCTTGTCGTGTCGTGTCGTGTCAGACAAAAACACGACACGACTGCCCGATTTGACAGCCCTAATGGTAGGTAGGATTTTGGTGATTCCATAAATGGAACTATGAGCATTTTACCCCTCTAAAGATAAATTAAATGGGTGGTGGTTGGATATTTGTATTCACACTTAGAAAAGAACCATCGTTATTCAAAACAATAGTTGTAGAAGTCTATAACTTTAAGCTAATACATAACATGTTACCTTTAATAAATATACTACATGACACTTATGAAATTGAAAAATTATGAAGGTTTGTGATCGTATGATGTTGAAGGTATCACTCTATAATGGGTGGTACGATTCAATAAGAGATGCAAATTAAATCCAAGATATGTTAAACCATTTAACATGTTGTAACAAATTGGATCACAAACATTTCATTTAGATTTTCCACCATAGGTATAAGGAATACATGATACTTTTCATTATGTTACATAAATAGTTACTTGGGACAAGATGATAAGATAATATTATTTACTGAATTGAAAGTGAAAAACACCAAATCAAATAACTGAGGAACCGAAAGTCAATATAAAAATCTAAAGATAAAAATTACGCAATGAAGAGTTCAACTTGGTATTAGTGAAGTGAAAGCATAACAATGGACCAAACTACACTTGAGAGACAATAAAAGACAGGGAGAAAACGTACCCAAGATTTTTAAAATAATGAAATGCTTCTGAGGACAGAGAATGAGAATGTAACAACCAAGATTTTTTTTAGTATGTTTAATGTATGTAAATATGATAATTTTAATATGCTTGTTGAAGAATGTCTTTGTGTTTACAAGGAAACTTATGCACCATATGAAAGATGGCTAATTTGGTTGTCAATGTTACCAACATTTAAGTAATTAGATTTTATAATGGTTCATAATATTATAATTTTAGTAGTGTTCACTACTAGAAAAAAGGTTTTCCTTGAAAGACGAATTACGACATACAACACGTTTATGACAGGCATAAACGTCTGTCATAAAGTTTATGTCATATATCGTAAAATATCAATGATTTACGACAGACAAAAATGTATGTCGTAATTTTATGTCATATTTTAACGAGTAAATTAAAATGATTTTTATCCGTTAATAGTATAAGGAAAAGTTAGTAATCGCAAACAATAATACAATGATGTTATGTTGACAAGTACATGAGCACTATATAGTATGAAAAAAATTAAAGCATGTTTAAAGGATGTGAGTTAAATATTAAAACCAATAAACCATTAGATTAGTGCAAAAAAAACTAATTACAAAGCAGGGGAAAAAAACCCGAACTGTCGAACCAATTTGAAAAAGCTCCACTTTGGTGTGAGGAAAAAAACAAAAAGATCAGTGTGTGGAAAAAAATTATATTTTGGTGAAAACTCTAAAAAAAACCTAAAGAATGACCTTTCTAATCGGTAGGTTAGCATTATTTTTGTTTGCTAACCTACAAATAAAAGTTATTATATATAAAAACGATGTATGGTAGAAAATCTCATATATAAAAAGGAAAATTATGCATGATAATAGCTAGCAAAACATCAAAATTTTAAATGAAATAAGTGTTTGGTAGGGGTCTAACACTCATGCCACCACGAGCAGGATTTGTGCCCATGTCCTCACTATAAAAGGTCATATGCCTTCAACGGTAAAGGGATCGAATCCTCACTCTCTCAGCCTTATGCTTAGACACATACTTACCTCTCACGGAGACTGACTTGACCCTCGGAGCGTTCTCCCAGGACCTCCTCCTGGAGATCGGCTGACAGCCTGTTTCCTCTTGTTTTGATAACAAATCTCCACCGGAATCCAACCAAGCGCACCGAAGAAGACAATGGAGGAGTAATATCACATCATTGGCGGCATCCGCTATTGAGACAAACCACAAAAAAAGCTCAACGCGTAACTTCCGACAATGGAAAACGATGGAGAAGGCGGCACCAACAACACTACAACAAGCCCATTATGACCAATGTCGTCTCTTGAACCAGTTGTCACAGAGACAAACCCAATCCCACACCCACCGCCACATACTCTCTAAAATCGGGCATGCTAATCAACCAGATATGGGTTCCTTCGCAAACTGCAGCGAGCGGACAACAATCAGCTAAGACCAACTTGACTCCCAACACAGCGCAAATGTCGATCTCACTACTTTCTAGCAACGTGCCACCATATCCACCACCCCAAAAGGGAACACATCCACACACATAAATGCCGATGATGATGAGCTTTCATCTAATCTACTCAACCCCGGTGATAAGACCATCATTAATCACACCGTTCAGCGGTACAACCCGCAACATGTAACCAACATTCAACTAACCACTCCTGTTTGGTACGTCTTCCCCATATACAAACATGCATTTTTAAATTTCAATATACAACCCCTACCAATGTTCACCCCAACACCCATAAACAACATACACCAGCCACACTTAACCCCATTCCTACAAACAATCTTTCCCCATAACCATGGAAACACACATTTCGTCCCAACAGACCAACATACCCCGCCATTCATACCAGAGCTACACGGATATGACATACCTACCGCAGCTAAGCTCCCACACCTCAAAATATATAATGGAATGGCCTTCCCAGATAGCCACATATACTCTAACGAATGAAACATGCAATCACTAAAACTAGACAAGAAGTTTTGGTGCATGCATTTTCCAATCACTATGGATGGAAATACAGGGACGTGGTTTAAAAATCTGACACCCAATAGTATCAGAAGTTTTTCAAAGCTAAAAACACTATTCCCCACACACTTCATGTAACTAAGAAAATATAGGGGAGAAGTATGATAAATCATAGGATGTTGTTAAGAATAAAATCCTTTTTGATCGATTAGATTCTGACAGGTAAAGTAATAACACAATATGAAAACTAGAACACAAGATGTATCAACTGGTGTCGAATGATTAAAAGACACAACCTCAGAAGAACTCTATAAAGAATTGCTACTGTATAGGCATGTTAGGGTTACAATGAAAAGATCGATTCAACTAAAAGCAACTACGGTGCATGCATGCACTATATATATATATATATATATATATATATATATATATATATATATATATATATATACTATAACCCTAATAATTAATACGGTTGGACATGCCCAAACCGTGTACATAATGGACTAAGGAAAACAGCCCAATGACGCAACTTATAATACCCAACAATCTCCCGCTTTGCGTCAATTGAGGCCCGAACCCTTCAGCCTTTGATTTGTTTCTGTACTTCATACACCTTCGGAATCATAGCATAAATTGCTTGGCGAACTTCAATGTACCAAACAATCATATCTGAGAAGCACTTGATATCTTCTTTCTTGTTGCCTCTGAACTTGCCCACTTGCTCCAAAATGAACTCAAGGAAGGTTGTGGTATAGAGATGCTTATCAGAAAGATATAAGCATCCTTTACGAAAATCTGCTCCAGTTCGTTCCCTAGCAGAATAAACAACAAACCAATCTCCACTGTAAAGTTTTCCTGGTTTCAACTTTTCAAAATCCTCAGGATTTTCCTTGAGAACAGCAGAAGGCTTCTTTCGCAGGATGCCAGCAACTTCAACATCCATCTCCCCAATCTCTTGAATATAGGATTGTATCATGATCTTGAGATGAGACATGACAGGTTCATACTTTTATTTGTCCTTCAGCAATATGTTGTAAAGAACAAACCAGACGTTTGGGTTAAGACATGGAAGATCTGCTAGAGTAAACTCATAGCATTGACTAGCTGAACCTCTTGCTACTTTAAACTTGGCATTTGGAAAGCTATCAGTCTCGATCGGCCCTGTAACTTTCACACATGTAATCTTGCACAATGACCAAGTTTCGTATTGTGGCTTCATATGCTTTAGATAGAACGAGAATAGCATATGATCCGCTCCGCTGTCTGTAATAGGAGCATTCGCCACTTTAACAAAAGAACGAAATCTGAATGCTTTTGGAGTAATTGGCAGATCTAGTTGGGAGTCTCGTGTGTTTTGCAGTTCAAACGAAACTACTTGTTCTAACCAATACTGACTTGGAAGATCAACAACATCACACTGGATTTGCTTCAGAGTCCACTTGGGGAACAAAAGCTTTTTACTCTGAAGGGTAGCATGTGCTTCTTTCTCATCCCTTTAACTTCTCTTCAGCTTCACGGATGATTCGCTGATGTTCATCCATTTCAGCTTCCCTGACTTTTCTCCTTTTCAGTTCTTCTTCAGTAATCTCTTCTTCTTCATTGTCAATAATTGTTTCGTCACTAAACAACTTTTCCTTGTCTTTAGGTTCCTTCTTGACAATTGGCTTGACAGGAGCTTTAGGTGGCTTGGTAAGAGCAGTAGATGGTTTGGCAGGAACTTTGGGTTCTTCCATTCTTGAT